TAATATTTACTTTTGCTATTGATTACTTAAATAAAAAATAATATTATATTATTTAACATATTTAAATTTTAATATAATAAACGAGAAAAGAATACTATATTATTCAATATATTTATTTGTTAATATATATTTAATAAATTTTATAATATATTTATTATTTAGTAAATATTTAATTAATATATTAAAAAGTTTCATAATATATATAAATTATTTATTAAAAATATGTAAATATTTATAATTAAAAGCAGTATAAATCGAATAATATATATATATATTTTATTTTAATAAAAACTAATTATATACTATTTAATATTTTTATTTATTAATATAATAAATAAGAAATAACATTATATTGAATAATTATTAACTAATAAAAAATTTAATAATACATATCATGTATTATTTAATAGAAACAATATATATATATATATATATATTATTACAAATAGTATAAGTTAACTAATATATATGTATCTAATTAAATTAGTTTTATAATTAAAAGTAGTATAAACTAAATAATATATATATATGTATATGTATATTAAATATATTTTTTTAGTATACAAATAGAAGTTAATTGAATATATTAAATTTTTACTTAGTAAATATTTATTAAATGAAATATATTTATTAATGATTTATTTAGTATATATTAATTTAATATCATTGTCTTTAAAATATTTGTTTAGTTATTTAATATATTTATTAATGTATTTATATATTAAATATATTATATAATTATTTATTTATTTAAAAATTAAGTATAATTTTTATATATAGATATATTCTGTATTTATTCATTTATTTAAATATGTTATATTTAAATCATATTCTTTAAAATATTTATTTATTATATTACTTAGTATATTTATTTTCTTAGTAAATGTTTATTTAAATATATAAGAAAATAATTAAAATTAATAAATTAGTCTATAAAACAACAATAATGATAATAAAAGTTTAATTAGACAAGAAATTTAAAAATAATAATATTTATTTATTTATTTAGTTTACTAATTTTTATTTCGTAATTATTACATATTTAATAAATAAATTAGGTATTAGTTTTATACTTAAAATTAGTATAAATTGAATATATATATATATATATATATATATTTATATATATAGTTTTGGATAAAACGTTTTTGATTGACATAGGTAAAAATTCCACGTAGGCTAGCCGGTAAAGGTTACCTGTTATAGCCGGTGGCAAGACGAAATTTCAGGTTCTTTTGCCTTTACGGGACGTGATCCAAAAGTGGGTATCGGAGAGGACCAAATCTCAAAGGTGGCACTTACAGGACAGACTCTCCAATTTTTCCACGAGTCGAGAATAACTTCTCTTAATCATTCGTTCGGCCTTGTAGGTCGTGTAAGTCTGTACATACCCTTCAAGTTTAAAGTCGTAAGTGTTCAAACTCCACTTTAGTCCACTGCACTTTAGGCTTGCTTTAAGTAGGCTAGATCTAAGACTTGCATGATTCAACGTTCTTTATAGAACCCCCAACATTATTTTAGGTTTCGTAGAAAATATGTCGAAAATGTGTTAAAAGTGGAGTTGAGATAAAAAATAGCGAAAATGAGGTACACAAGACACCACATGACTCGTGTGAGGTGATCTATAAGCCACATGGGTCGTGTGGCGAAGGAATAAAAGAAATTTAAATTCGACTTTTTTACGCGACTCATGTGGTTGTGGGAAACGCGTCATGTGGGGTCACACGACTTGTGTGATTAGTCGTGTAGGTCTGGGAGGGTTGCATGCATCTTGAGAAAAATGTCACACGACTCTTGTGTCAACGATCTTTAAGTCACACGAGTCGTGTGACGCAGAGTTCAACCTGATGAGGATTAAGATTTTATGCAATTTTCTTTTATTATTCAACATATATTCGGCCTACCTTACAAAAGGGACTTGAAGAACTTGGTTTGGAGACTATTGACATTTTTGGAGACCGAAAAAAGCACAAGACGCGCAAGAGGAGTCAAGATTGAATATTCAGGAACAAAGTGACAATAGTTATTTTTCTTTTTTTTTTCTTTTTCTTCTTCATTGAACTCATGTAGTTATTTATTTTGAGACTTGAGAATATGTCTAGGATTTAGAAGTACTCGAATTATTTGTGAAGTAATTATATTTATTCATTCAGGTCTATCTTTTGTTAGTTAATTTCCTGTGTTTATATTTATTGTGTGAATATAGGGACTGAATTTATGCATATTTATGATTGACTTGGGATCGTGAGGAGATAGTTGATTGTTATAATTGAGAAACTGATAACTAAGGATACTAAACAGACCGGTATGTTGATAGAATTTTGCGATGGAACTAGAATCTTAAGAGCCGGTAGAGACAATTGTTCATATTGGGACTGGGAGGTGATAAATATCAATTAATCAACAATTTAACTTGCTTGAGAGAGGCTAAATTACCTTAGCGATTATTCATACAATTGAAAGAATTAAATAAGTTTTGAATGAACAAAAAATTGTTTTGTATAACAATTCGAGGAAAACTTAGCCTAGAATCTATCATTTTTGAATTAATTGAAGACTTCATTAGTTGTTATAGGTAATTTATCGTTATTCATTAATGATTGTAGAACTTAAACCAATTTACAGTAATCTAAATAATATTTAATCGTCTATATTATAATAGTTAATTAATTTAACGACAATATTTATGGAATGCGATCTTACTCGTTGATTGCTATAACCAGTGACAGATCTAGAAATTTCACTCAAGGGGGGCAAGTTTTAAATGTTAAATAATGAGTTTGTTTCTTACGTTGAAACACTCATGTCATATAAAAATGTGTTTCCTTATAAATATAGATATCGATATGTGCGCTATCAAGTTTTTAAATTTTGAATCTGTATCATTCTCACTTTTTTAAAAAACAATAAAAAAAATGAGATTTCATGTATTTATAATTTAAGTTTAAGATTTACAATTTATGAAAAAATAAGTTTTGTGTTGAAAAATTGGTTTAAATTTGAACTTTGTCGCTCATTGTATAGCATTTGTTGATGAGAGCTTACCAAATGACCATTATTTTATGAAAAAATAAATAAAGTTAAAAATGCGTGATTTAACAAAAAAAAGTAAAAAATCAACATTAAAAGTCTATCAATCTAACAAAATACTAAGTTTTAAAAATCATCAAATCGATTTACAATTAAGAAGATGAAAGAGTAAATCATTAAATATTTTTTCAAAGAAATTATCCATAAATGTAAAATATAAGGATGATAGTATATTTATCAATAAATAATAAATAATATTAATTAAATTAAAATATCATTAAAAATAAGTTTTAATTATTTATATATTGTAATAATTTTTGTATTTTCATTTATATTTTGTGGTGCTCTCTTTTTTTATGTATATATAATGAACTTTTTTAAAAAAAAAAATCAGGGGACCTATGACCCCCTGAACCTCATGTAAGTCCACCCATGACTATAACTACACCGTACATTTACGGGTAGTGTAAATATTTTGCGAACATTCATATTCTATATGAGATGATTTATATTACAATATACTCAACCTCGATTAGATAATTTTTGTTGTTTCCTTATTTCAATCTTCAAGGCCTATTTTTAAAGAAGAAAATGCAAAGTTTGCCTCATAATTAGAACCTTATTTTGTTTGTTAATCATTGAGTCATACTGTACACTTTCGGATAGTGAAAATATTTTGCAAAGATTCATATACTCAACTTTGATTAGATATTGTTTGTTGTTTCATTATTTCAATCTTTAAGGCTTACTTAAAAAAAATGTAAAGTTTGCCTCATAATTAGAACATTTTTTTGTTTGTTAATCATTGAAGTCTCATCTAAAAAAGGGTGTTGTTATTTACCGACCCTATTTTACTACATACCCGCACCCCAAAATGACTCTTTTACTCTTCTGAAATATAATAATAAAAAATTCAATTTTAATTTAATTTTTTTTAACATAAAAAATATTTTCTTAAACAAAAAACTTGCAAAAATTCTCATACACACATATTGGTCAATAAAAAAAATCTAAAAAAAAACACAAACTTCAATCAAAAAATTCAAAAGAAATCCAAAAAAATGGCGGGACAATCCTCACGCACCAGGAAAGGGCTCTCCAACTCACAAGTATTTTTTTTTTTTTTTTTATACAATTTTAACGATTTAAAAAAAAATCATATTATTATAATTTATAATAGTATTAATTCAAAATTCTATTAGTAATTAATATAATTAAAAGAAATTATTTATAGCAATATAGTAATTAATATATTTATTAGTACAATTATACAAAATACTAACTACTATATTAGTATATATAAAAAATTATATTAGTATTTAGTATCTATTATAAACTAATAGTATAAAATTAAATTAATTATAATAGGAAAAATTTATATTAGTATAAATTATTAAGTGGGGCTGGGTTGCAGTTTTTTTCTTATTATTTTTCCTTTTTTTTTAATTACTAAGGATAAAATCGTATTTTCAAGATGCGGTGGATAATAAAATAAGTGCGGTATTTAATAATTTCTATAGGGGAATTCAAATCCCTAATCTCTATGGCTCAAATATCACCAAGATTCAAGAATCCCATGACACTATTTCCCTATATCATTTGTCAACCTACGAATGAATTTCTTGTTTAGTTTACCAATATCTATAAAAGGAAAAATTCAAAAAGAATCGAACGTTACATGACAATAACTGTTCAAAAGACGTGGGACCCGCCCAAAGGCTGTAAAAGCCAAAAGGTTCATTCTCTCCACACACACACACTGTGGCCTAATCTTTTTCCTCCTAACGTTTGCCTTTTTCGTTTAAATTTCAAATTTTGTGCCTCAAAAAAGACAGTGATTATATAAAACTGAAAGATCATCACGCCAGACAGCAAGATTAATGGAGATTTTCAACTTTTTTTAATTTTTTTTTAGCTCTGTCTGTGTTTTTTCTTGTTTCTGCTCTATTTTCTGCACAAGCCACTCTGCAATGGGGGATTCAACTTGTCTCCTTCATGGCTTCTCTTATGCTTCCGCCATACCCAATGAGTCCAAACAGGTAAACAAACATGCAAAAGACCCAAGAAATTACAGCAAAGGCACCATTTTTCTCTCTGGGGTTCTTGTTATTGTTACATTTTCTTTCAGTTTTTGGGACAAAAATGAGTTCTTTAAAAGAGTTAGTTTCTTCTTGATTGACCAAAAAAGGTGCTGAAAGATTATAGTTCAGTAGTGTGTAGGATCTGCAGTTGCTTTTCGAAATAGAACAGAAATTAATGGTTTCGAATGAAGAAGAAGAAGAACAAGAACAAGAACAAGAAACTGCTCTTGTTTTGTAATCTTGATTCAGTTAAAGTTTCATAAAAATTGTATCATGATTTGAATTCTTGGAAGCTGTGGTTCGTGTAAATTGTAAAAATGTAATCTTGCGTTGCGCTTTTCAGGGGAACGCGATGCACGCCCTCGGCGAATCAATCTCGTTCGGGAGATTTATGACAGAGTCTTTATCATGGGAAAAATGGTCATCGTTTTCCTCGTCGTCATCCTCACACAAGAAGTATGTGGAGGAGGCCGAGAGATATGCCCAGCCGGGCTCAGTGGCTCAGAAGAAGGCATTCTTTGAGGCCCATTACAAGAGAATGGCGGCCCAGAAGGCCGCAGCTCTACTCGAGCAACAAAACGCTGCTGCTGCTGCTGCTAAAACAGAACCTTATGAGGATCACAATGTACATGATGATCATCAGCAAAAAGAAGGGGTTTTCGATTCTCAAATGGGTTTCGTTGAGAAAAATGAGGATGTCAAAGTTTTTAAGGATGTTAAAGAAGATACAGTGGATTGGAATAATCATATGGATGAGAATGGGGTTTGTAAAGAGGGGGAAAATGTGATAAATGCAGAAATTGAAGGCTCAGGGGAAAGCTCTGTAGAGAGAAGACTCTCTGTTTCAGGGTCTGAGATTACTGGAACTCCATTGATGGAGATTCCTTTGCTAAAGGTAGTAGCTTTCTCTTGATTATCTTTTTTTTTTTTGTCTCGAAAAATTGTATGCGATATGTGTTGTGTGATATTGATTGTTTGTTTATGAATGCAGAGCAAATCAGCTGTGACAGAGGAAGTTCAATCAGCAGAGAGCAAGAAAAAATCAAGCCTCGCTAGTTTAAAATCATCGATAAGGCGTAAAACGTGGAAAATCCCGTCTACACCTGCAGCAAGACCACCGGTTACTACTAATACTACTCCTCAATTCAAGAGAGATATTTCCCAAAGCACAAGAAAGTCTAATGTGGACGCTACAGACAAAAAACGAAACTCCACAAAGTCTTTACGCGAATTGATTAGCTTAGTTCCCGTTAAAGAACCTGATAAGGAGCCTTCTTTAGCCACCATCAAAGGTGTTAGTTCGATCAGAACACCTAAAATTTGCAGCACGCCGCTGAGGACCCCAGCTGTGGTGATTTTCTTACACCCTCTTGCTTTCGTTTCTTCCTAAATTTCTTACTGATTGTTTGCAAACACAAGGAATAAAGCAAGTTTCAACTTCAAGATGGAAAATTTCTTAGTAACTGTTTGTAAGCATGAAGTTTTGTTTTATTGAATAGTTTTAAAGTTAGTGTTTATATGAAGTTCGTGTTGCAATGCAGGGAACATCAAAGGCTGTGACAAAAGATTCTGCATATACTCCTTTAACAGAGAGAAGAAGGTGCCTAATCTATTATTCTAAACGATTCGAGTGCGTATATTAAGTAATCTGCAGGACTGTGTTCCAATGGCTGATGATTTTGGAACTTTTATGTAACAAAATACTTTGAAAATGTTCAGGATGAAAACACCGATCGACTCCTCTGCTGCCCGAGGAAGCAAAACGATGGGTCCCAAATGGCACATTTTGTCTGCTCTGTAAGTCTGAGCTCTGGTTTATCGAGAAGTATGATAATATCAAATCTGGTTGGATATTTCCGAATTAATTATTCACCCTTGGTAGAAAAATACGATATATATATTGGAGCATATGGATTGCAAGAATATGGGATGCCCTTAAATTGAGAGTAACCTCTTTGATGTATGATTGCTTGTTAGATTATAGAGTAAGAAGACACAATAATGTAATGAATAAAGAGATTTTAGTGTTGATTTATAGGTTATAGTATTTACTTAATAACTTCTGAAATTTCTTACAAAATGAATTTATTTCAGTAGTTCTAAGTCGGTGACCGCCTGTCGCAACAAGCTACAATCACCGAGCTTACCAACCCCTTTTACTCTCAGAACAGAAGAAAGAGCTACAAAAAGAAAACAGGTAAGAGTCTTTGCATATTGTTTTGTTGGAGGTAATTTATTAGTTGTCCAATAGCTAATTATTAATGCCTTTATCCAAACACTTTACAGAAACTCGAGGAAAAGTTCAACGCGAATGCAGTGCAAAAGAAGGTTGAGCAACAAAACAAACTGAAGGTGGTTATTCGTTTGGAGCCAACATGTCATTTCATTGTTGTTGGTTTTCATGTGGAAACACAACGCGTGATTTGGAGTTAAACGTTACTTGTCCATTGTTGTCAGGAGAAAGCCGGAAGCGAACTTAAGAAGCTGGGTTGTACTTTTTGCTTCAAAGCTCGTCCCTTGCCCAGCTTTTACAAGGAAAGGGAAATCTCGGTCAGTCAGATGAGGAAGGTAATGCAACAAAGTTGTTTTTTTGGTTCTTTTTCTTTATTGTGTTGAGCAAGCAAAAAGGGATTATTATTATTGTTAATATCTACTTTTAAAACAACCATTAAGCAGAGTCAAGTAAGCCGGGCTCCTCAGACAGCAGTACTAGGAAGAAGCATTTCGAACAAGAATAAGAAGAAGCAAGGCGAAGGCAGTATCTCGATGCCTCCTCCTCCTCCGCCTCCAAAATCTATCGTCAAAAATGGATCCTCGAAAAGACTCTCCAAAAACAAAGTTGCAGCAAGTGGACACAATCATTCATTACGGGCTGAAACTATTGCGCACGAGAACAAGTCCCCAAATATTCTACATTGAAGCGGAGAATTCTATTTTTATTTTGGCAGGAAAAGTGAAGCTCAGTTTGAATATTGATCATTGGAGGAGAGGTGTTAATATTGAGTGTGTTAATGTTTCCATAGTTTTCTCCTGTAGTAGACTAGTAGTTGAGGAAGTTTGTAACATGATTCTATGGAAACAAATGTTTGGAGACAAAAACTATAACACGGTAACGAGGACTTGAGCTCGAGCTCGAGCTCGGCAGTAAATTAAAGAGAAATCTAATGAACAATCAACAACAAATCAGATTGGCACCTCACAAAAACTCATCTTATGATCATCATCATCATCATCAACCACAAAGACGGAAAATTTATTCATCATCGAAATCCTCCTCCTCATCTCCGTCGTCCGAGTAGTCATCCGCTTTCAATCTCGTGCTGTGCGCCCATTTTGACGTGCTCCTAGACC